AGGCTAAGGTGGGAGAATCGCTTGAACCGTTAGGCAGAGGTTGCAGTGAGCTGAGACAGTGCCACTGCACTCTAGCCTAACCCTGTCTCAAAAAAAGAAAAAAAAAAAAAAAAAAAAAAAAACGGAAAAAATTAGCTGGGAATAATGGCAAATGCCTGTAGTCCCAGCTACTCAGGAGACTGAGGTAGGAGGACTGCTTGAGCCAAGGAGATCAAGACTGCTATAAGCCATGATGGTGTCACTGGACTCCAGCCTGTGTGACACAGAGAGAGATCCTATCTAGAAAAGAAAATGAAACAGCCCAATTAAAAATGAGCAAAAGTCCCGAACAGACATCTCACCAAAGAAAACATACAGATGGCAAAAAAGCACATGAAAAGATGCTCCACATCCTGTCATTAGAGAACTGGAAATTAAAGCATTAGTGATATACATTTACACACGTAAATGGCCAAAATCCAGAGCACTGATTTCACCAGGAATGCTGGTGAGAATATAGAGCAACAGGAGCTCTCATTCATTCATTGCTGCTGGGAATGCAAAATGGTACAGCCACTTTGGCAAATAGTTTGGCAGTTTCTTATAAAACTAAACATACTCTCACCATACAATCTAGTCATTGCTTGCCTTGATATTTATCCAAATGAGTTGAAAACTTACATGCACACAAAAACCTGCACATGGTGTTTTATAGCAGCTCTAGTCACAATTGTTAAAACTTGGAAGTAACCAAGATGTCCTTCAGTAGGTGAATGCATCAATACATTGTGGTACATCCAAACAATGGAAAAATAGCACCAAAAAATGGGCAATCGAGCCATGAAAAGATATGGAGGAACCTTAAATGCATATTAAGAGAAAGAAGCCAAGCTGAAAAGGCTACATGCTGTATGATTTCAATTATATGACATTTTGGGAAAGGCAAAACTATGGAGACAGTAAAAGGATCAAGGGTTGCCAGGGGTTAGGAGAGAGGGAGGACAGAACAGGTAGAGCAAGAGGATTTTTAGGGTGGGGAAACTATTCTGTATGATACTGTCATTGTGGATACATGGCATTACAAATTTGTCCAAATCCATAGGCTGTACAACACCAACAGTGAGCCCTAGTGTAAACTATGGACTCTGGGTAGTGATGTGTCCATGTAGATTGATCAGCTGTAAGAAATGCATCACTCGGGCCAGGCGCGGTGGCTCAAGCCTGTAATCCCAGCACTGTGGGAGGCCGAGGCGGGTGGATCACGAGGTCAAGAGATCGAGACCATCCTGGTCAACATGGCGAAACCCCGTCTCTACTAAAAATACAAAACATTAGCTGGGCATGGTGGCGCGTGCCTGTAATCCCAGCTACTCAGGAGGTTGAGGCAGGAGAATTGCCTGAACCCAGGAGGCGGAGGTTGCGGTGAGCCGAGATCGCGCCATTGCACTCCAGCCTGGGTAACAAGAGCGAAACTCCGTCTCAAAAAAAAAAAAAAAAAAAAAAAAAAAAGAAATGCATCACTCGGGTGGGAGACGTTAACAATGGGGGAGGCCATGTTGTGTGAGTGCAGGAAGTATAAGGGAAATCTCTGTCCCTACTGTTCAATTTTGTTGTGAATCTAAAACTGCTCTAAAAAATAAACTTTCTTTATAAAAAATGACCTGTTACTTTTTGACTATGACAGAGGGTCACAGATCTGCTTCTCAAAAGGAGGTTTCCTCCTCAGGGATTCCCACCCCTCTTCGTCTGCCACATTTTGACAGTCTAATTCTAGTAAGCAAAGAATGGAGGAGTGGTGTTCAGTTTCATCTAGAAGCCAATGTCCTCAAACAATCTGTGCAAACGATCAACAGTAGTGGTCCCCAACCTTTTTGGCACCAGGGACTGGTTTCATGGAAAGCGATTTTTCCACATACTAGGGTTGGCAGGGGCAGGAAGGGGAGAGGGGTGGGAAATGGTTTCAGGATGAAACTGTACCACCTCAGATCATTAGGAGTTAGATTCTCATAAGGACTGCGCAACCTAGATCCCTTGCGTGCACAGTTCACAACAGGGTTTGTGCTCCTATGAGAATCTAATCCTGCTGATCTGACAGGAGGCGGCACTCAGGTGGTAATGCTCACTTGTGCCATGCTTACTTCCAGCTATGCAGCTTGGTTTCCAACTGGCCACGGAACAGTACCAGTCTGTGGCCTGGGGGTTGGAGACCCCTGATCTAGTCTTTTTTTAAGTATTAAATATTTTAAAGTATTAAGATTGTTCCTAGACAAGATTTTCATAGCACTTGGCTAACAACTAATCTTTAAGTAGAATTAATTTAGTCAGCATCATTTTCAATGCATTTGGATTAATCACCTTAAGTAGAAACACCTTTGAATAAATGACAGTACACAATACACATGCATGCACACACACATGCATACTTAGGATTAATGACTCAAAAGACAGAAATCATTTTAGAAATGGAAAGGCTGAGAAGGTCGTAATAAGCCTTCAAATAACATGCAAGCTTGCATGTTTAATTATCTGGACAAATCACATGCTGTGCTAGAATCTTTATTGTAGGCTTAAAGTCAGGAGAATGGCTTGTTAACACTTGTCTTCTGAAGCAAGGCAGGAAACTAGAAAGGTTATTAAAAGTTCCACTTACTAGAATGAACATGCTGGTTATGACAGTTTTCACCACCTCCTCCAGCCCTAAGACTTTATTCATACTAGAGGATAAGGACACTGGCCATTTCTAGAGAAACTAGGTAGAAACTGTTTCTACCATCTTGGGCCACCTATTTTGCCTCCAGGGAGTTTTCTAAAATGCTCCTTGGCTGGGAACAGTGGCTAATGCCTGTAATCCTAATACTTTGGGAGGCCAGGCAGGAGATTACTTTAGGCCAGGAGTTCAAGACCAGCCTGGCAACAAATTAAAAAATTAGCCAGGCACAGTGGCATGCACCTGTAGTCCTGGCTACCCAGGAAGCTGAGTTGGGAGAATCACTTGAGCCAAGGAGTTCGAGGTTGCAGTGAGCTGTGATTGCACCACTGCACACCAGCCTGGGTGACAGAGTGAGACCCTGTCTCTAACAACAATAACAAAATATAAATAAAGCATTCCTTGTTTATATTTAGCTTTCATTTCAGCACAAGTATTCTATTCTTTTTTTTTTTTTTTTTTTGAGACGGAGTTTCGCTCTTGTTACCCAGGCTGGAGTGCAATGGCGCGATCTCGGCTCACCGCAACCTCCGCCTCCTGGGTTCAGGCAATTCTCCTGCCTCAGCCTCCTGAGTAGCTGGGATTACAGGCACGCGCCACCATGCCCAGCTAATTTTTTGTAGTTTTAGTAGAGACGGGGTTTCACCATGTTGACCAGGATGGTCTTGATCTCTTGACCTTGTGATCCACCCGCCTCGGCCTCCCAAAGTGCTGGGATTACAGGCTTGAGCCACCGCGCCCGGCCAGCACAAGTATTCTTGAATTACTCAACTAGGACTACTTAGCCTTCCAACAATTTTTCTAAGTTCCTCTTCATTATCTTTTTTTTTTTTTTTGGAGACAGAGTCTCGCTCTGTCACCCAGCCTGTAGTGCAGTGGTGCGATCTCAGCTTACTGCAACCTCTGCCTCTAGGGTTCAAGTGATTCTCCTGTCTCAGCCTCCCAAGTAGCCTGGATTACAGGTGCCTGCCACCATGCCCAGCTAATTTTGTATTTTTGGTAGAGACGGGGTTTCACTCTGTTGGCCAGGCTGGTCTCAAACTCCTGACCTCATGCCTTGGCCTCCTAAAGTGCTGGGATTACAAGCGTGAACCACCGTGGCCAGCCTACACTATCTCTCTCTCTCTCTCTCTCTCTCTCTCTCTGTGTGTGTGTGTGTGTGTGTGTATATACAGATATCAAAACAAGCAGTATGATCCTATTACTAAAATAGAAAATTTCTATGTTTGTATGTATGTTAAAAACAAAAACAAAACAGGGAACCGTTAACTGTAAAGGGATAGCCAGCTATTACTGTCATCTATGGAGTACGCTTTCCCCCAAAGATTCTTTGTGTTAATACCAAAACCCCTTCCCATTTGAACAGCAGCTTCTCCCCCTACTAAACATTTCCTATGATTTTGGTGGGGCTGCCAGCCACAAGAATAGGTGTGTGACTGAAGCCTGTTCTAAAATTTATATATGTTGTGGAGAGTGAGGACAGATCTTTACTTTTTACTTAAAACTTCTTATAAGCCTACATAATTTTAAAAGCCAAATATTCCTAAAAGCTTGTAGTTAAAAACAGCGGTGCCCTACATCATTTCTTCTGGTCAGATTCAGGCTCTAAAGAAGCAACCACTTGTAATTATTTAGCTGTTTAGCTTACTAATAACATTAAGCATTTACTATTTACCAAGCACGATTCTGAACACGTTACAGGTATTAACACATTTAATCCTCATAGTAGTCCTATGGGGGTGTCTAAACCTGCTGCCAAGACTCTGACACTTGAGTGGAAGGGGTGGAGGCCTCATTGTTGAGGATGCAGACTTCAACTAACACCTCCTTATTTATTTATTTATTTTGAGACAGAGTGTCGCTCTGCCCACAGGCTGGAATGCCATGGTACAATCTCGTCTCACTGCAACGTTGGCCTTCTGGGTTCAAGAAATTCTCCTGCCTCAGCCTCCCGAGTAGCTGGGACTACAGATGCGTGCCACCATTCCCAGCTAATTTTTGTATTTTTTTTTTTTTTTTTTGAGACGGAGTTTCACTCTTGTTACCCAGACTGGAGTGCAATGGCACGATCTCGGCTCACCGCAACCTCCACCTCCTGGGTTCAGGCAATTCTCCTGGCTCAACCTCCTGAGTAGCTGGGATTACAGGCACGCACCACCATGCCCAGCTAATGTTTCATATTTTTAGTAGAGACGGGGTTTCACCATGTTGACCAGGATGGTCTCGATCTCTTGACCTCGTGATCCACCCGCCTCGGCCTCCCAAAGTGCTGGGATTACAAGCTTGAGCCACCGTGCCTGGCCTAATTTTTGTATTTTTTAGTAGAGACAGGGTTTCACCATGTTGGCCAGGATAGTCTCTATCTCTTATCCTCGAGATCTGCCTGCTGCGGCCTCCCGAACTGGGATTACAGGCATGCACCACTGAGCCCGGCCTAAACCTCCTATTTTTCAGTTTGCCTCTCCCACCCAAGTTCAAAGTCCCTTAGGTTCAACACCTCTCAAGAGTAAACCTCGGGCTGGGCGCGGTGGCTCACGCCTGTAATCCCAACACTTTGGGAGGCGGAGGCGGGTGGATCACGAGGTCAAGAGATCAAGACCATCCTGGTCAACATGGTGAAACCCTGTCTCTACTAAAAATACAAAAAATCAGCTGGGCATGGTGGCGCATGTCTGTAATCCCAGCTACTCAAGAGGCTGAGGCAGGAGAATTGCCTGAACCCAGGAGGTGGAGGTTGCGGTGAGCCGAGATCGCGCCATTGCACTCCAGCCTGGGTAACAAGAGTGAAACTCCGTCTCAAAAAAAAAAAAAAAAAAAAAAAGAGTAAACCTCCAGTCTTGCACTGGGAAGGGGAGGTGGTCATACAAAGGAAAGAAATGAAGGAAGGAATCTACTGAATCCTACACAGCCTTTCAAACTGTTTTTTTTTTCCCCCTTGAGACAGTCTTGTTCTTGTTCTGTTCCCCAGGCTGGAGTGCAATGGCACGATCTCACCTAACTGCAACCTCTGCCTCCTGGGTTAGAGTAGCTGGGATTATAGGTATGCACCACCACACCCGGTTAATTACTAGAGATGGGAGTTTCACCATGTTGGCCAGGCTGGTCTCAAACTCCTGACCTTGTGATCTGCCTGACTCGGCCTCCCAAAGTGCTTGGATTACATGTGTGAGCCACTGCGCCCAGCCTCAAACTGTTTTAAGCTCTAAATTCAATTCCATTTTTAGAGCTTATCTGGTGCTTCATGTCCTTCCAGGGTTCTGTAGTGAAAAAAGCTTGCTCGTTTTTTTATTTTTCTTTAAAAAAAAAAAAAAATTAACTGTTTTATTGAGGTATAGTGGTTTGCTTCTTGATTTCTCCACATGCAGACATTTAGATTTCCAGTTTCTCAAGTTGCTAGATCATTTACTATTGCCCAGACCAGCCTGGGCAATACAGTGAGACACCACCTCCACAAAAAAAGTGAAACAATTAGCTGGGCGTGGTGGTTCATGCCTGTAGTCCCAGCTACTGGAGAGGCTAAGGTGGGAGGATTGCTTGAGCCCAGTGGGTGCAAGGCTGCAGTGAGCTATGATCTCGCCATTGTGCCTGGTCTTGAACTCCTGGGCTCAGGCAATCCTCCTGCTTCAGACCCCCAAAGTGCTGAGATTACAGGCATGAGCCACTGCACCCAGCCAACATGTAATTTTCTAGTTCTCTTTTAAAATTTTTAGCTATGATTCTCCTGTAAAGAAAAATGTTCCTTCATTGACCATTTGGTTACCTGACATATAATTCCTACAGGACACACAAGACAAACACTTTATTCTTTATCTTCACTTATCAATGTACAAAATACTGAGTTGATGCCCTGGCAATCCCAAAGGTGTCCTATAAGGGTTTTTTTTCTTTGACTCAGATTTTTATCTTTGATGTACTTCAACCCATTGCAGGCCTTATTCCCTTTAATGATCTAATTGTCCTATCTATGGCAATGGGAGTCCCTTCAAGTTGGCTTCACTGTGCTACAGACATGATCCCATTCATCTCAGGTTGCTTCCTTGTATTCAGGCACAACAAGGTGCCTTAAGGCTTATAATATACAATTCCTGCCTGCCTTAGACTTTGAATCAACCGTATTCCATAGAACTCAGAATTCTTTTAGTAGAAAATAGTATTTAGAAACTATAAATTAGGCTGGGCACAGTGGCTCATGCCTGTGATCCCAGCACTTTGGGAGGCTGAGACGGGTGGATTGCTTGGGGTCAGGAGTTCAAGACCAGTGTGGGCAACATGGCGAAACCCCAACTCTACTAAAAATACAAAAATCAGCCAGGGATAAAAAAAAATTTAAATAAATAAATAAAAATTAACCAGGCATGGTGGCACACACCTGCAATCCCAGCTACTTGGGATGCTGGGGCAGGAGAATCACTTGAACCTGGGAGGTTGCAGTGAGTTGAGATTACGCCACTGCACTCCAACCTGGATGACAGGGCCAGACTCTGTTTCAAAAAAAAAAAAAAAACCCCATAAATTGTCACTAAGAATGCTTATTGCTACTGGGTTGTCATTGCTTCTTGGGACTGACAATGGCTGAGCTCGGAAATATCTATTTTTTTAAAAGAGAAAACTAAATCTTGAGTTCAAACTAATATTTCCAATTCAAATTCAGTAATACTTTAAGCTGGGCATGGTGGTATGCACCTGTAATTTCAGCTACTTGGGAGGCTGAGGTGGCAGAAGTGCTTGAGCCCAGGAATTCAAGTCCAGTCTGGGCAATATAGTGAGACTCTGTCTCTTAAAAAAAATAATAGGGCCGGGCACGGTGGCTCACGCCTGTAATCCCAGCACTTTGGGAGGCCGAGGCAGGTGGATCACGAGGTCAAGAGATCGAGACCATCCTGGTCAACATGGTGAAACCCCGTCTCTACTAAAAATACAAAAAATTAGCTGGGCATGGTGGCGCGTGCCTGTAATCCCAGCTACTCAGGAGGCTGAGGCAGGAGAATTGCCTGAACCCAGGAGGCGGAGGTTGCGGTGAGCCGAGATCGCGCCATTGCACTCCAGCCTGGGTAACAAGAGCGAGACTCCGTCTCAAAATAATAATAATAATAATAATAAATTATAGGCTCTTTACTCTGGTTCTTTATTTTATACCTCTTTTTTAATGCTAAAATCTTGATCCCTAATAATATTCACAAAATTACATTAACTTCTTTTTTTTTTTCTTTTCTTTTTTTTTTTTTTTGAGACGGAGTCTCGCTCTTGTTACCCAGGCTGGAGTGCAATGGCGCGATCTCGGCTCACCGCAACCTCCGCCTCCTGGGTTCATGCAATTCTCCTGCCTCAGCCGGGACTACAGGCACGTGCCACCATGCCCAGCTAATTTTTTGTATTTTTAGTAGAGACGGGGTTTCACCATGTTGACCAGGATGATCTCGATCTCTTGACCTCGTGATCCACCCGCCTCGGCCTCCCAAAGTGCTGGGATTACAGGCTTGAGCCACCGCGCCCAGCCTAACTTATTTTCTTTATCCATACGTGTGTGTGTGTTTCAAAATAATATACCAATAATGGCTGGGCACAGTAGCTCACGCCTGTAATCCCAGCAGTATCGGAGGCCAAGGCGGGTGGATCACCTGAGGTTGAGAGTTCAAGATCAGCCTGGCCAACACAGTGAACCCCCGTCTCTACTCCAAATACAAAAATTAGCTAGGTGCAGTGGTGCACACCTGTAATCTAAGTTCCTTGGGAGGCTGAAGAGCCGAGATTGCACCACAGCACTCCAGCCTGAGGGACAGAGCAAGGCTCTGCCTCAAATAAAAATAATAAAATAATATACCAATATTATCATGAACGGTGAGATTACCAAATGCAATTTAGTATTTCCTTGTGGTTCTTTTTGTCCTGATACATTTTAACCTTAGCTGAAGGATAATTTAATGGGACAAATCATTTTTGTACCAGCCTGACACCATCGTTCCTTAATTAGGAGTAAAAGGAGCTAAGTGCAAAAGCTCAAATCATATCAGTTTTTAGGCCATTTCCCTTCCAACTAGCATCCTGAGATAAAAACACAAGGTCTGGATGAAAAAGTCTTCAGGGAATGGATATAAACGCTGGAGGAACAAATCACCCTACTAAGTAACATGGGGTCAGTGAACTGAAAGAGTAAGAGAACAGGAAAGAAATCATGAGCATAATTCTCATTATACAGGCATGGTAAGTCAGACTGACAGGCAGCTGCAAATTTTCTCAGCAGGAGCTATAGTGAAATGCTGCTTAGCAACACCCGAAGGCAGATGACAATGACAACTATACAAAGAGCTGGAGAATCGGATTTAAGCATGACAATCATACCATCTTACAATTGCCTATTGACCAACCAAGCAACAACTAATTCTGGTTAAGTGGTAAAATCTGGTGACTGTACTGCCTTTGCTTTACTACTTTTATTTCCTATCTTTTTTAAAGGTGGGAAAAATAATGTCTGAGCCAATAAAATTCAGGCATGGCCTTGCATAGTGATACTACTCTGAAAGCATTTTAAGAAACATCTTAAAACTTTACAGGATGTTGTGGAGATTGGCTGTGAGTTAGTGGACCCATAAAATTCAAGGTGATCTCATTATTATTTGTGATATCTTTTCTTCAGATTGAATGTATAATCATTTTCAAGTTTTGATACACATTAGAATCATCCATGGAGCTTGAGTAGGATAGAGATTCTAATGCAGATATGCTGAATCAGAATCTTTAAGCATGACCTGGCTACCAATATTTTGAAAAAGATCCCAGATAATTTTTTTTGCACCCAAAGTTGAAAATTACTATAACATAACATATAATCATTTAAGACAAAATTTTATGTGCATGATAATCATCTCGGGAGCTTGTTAAACATGTGGAGTCTCAGGACACTGGGAAGTTTTGAATTCAGTTGGCCTGGTATGGGCTATGTAATTTCCGTATTTAACCAGCATTCCAAGAAACACCGCATGACGCAGGTGTCATCAAATCACACTCTGAGCAACGTTTTTAAATTTTTTGGTGGGTGGGGGGAGAATGCAAAGAAAACAAAATAGGCAAATACCACCAGGCAGGGGTCCAGAATGTGGCAACTACTGACCTGAGTGATGTTTGTGAATATCTGCTCAGACATTCTCTCGCACAGAACCACCATCAGCTGCAGGACAAGCAGCTTCTGCTCTTGGCCTTCCACAAGAAGAGTCTGATGTTGCTCTAATTCCAAGAGGCTCTTGCTGGAGAAGGGCTTAGTTTTTAATTCTGCTTCATTTTCTGTGGCCACATGAGTCAACTCCTACAAGGGTGGCAGGGAAGAAAAAGTGAAGATAAAGCCAGTAGAACTAAGGCCTTCCCAAACATAAGTAGAAACCTCTGTGTGAACTGTATGTTTAAAGAAATAGTCTGTGTTTGTGGCAACATTATTTGTAATGGCCAAAACTTGGAGACAACCTAAATGTGCAGCAATAAGAAAACATTACAATGTATTTATTATATCACAGCAGTTAAAATAAATGAATTAGATTTATATGGGTATCAGTACATTATTGAGTGAAAAATATAAGTTGCAGAATATGTACAGTATGATGTCATGTATATAAAAATGTAAAATCTCATTAAAAAATATATACACACACAAAGAAATAGTTTGACAAGCTTTTTGTTTTGTGAGTATTTTTATGATTTCTACTAGCAGTCTTCCTTGAACTGAGACCTGAGACCACCTCACATTCTCAAACCCCTTTTGGAGACCATTAGATGCCTCCAACACTACCGCCCTTTTCCTCTAACATACTTAGAACTAAACTTCTACTAAGAAATCATGTATTTCTGTGGGTTTTGTAGGCTATTCACCTACTCTTCACTGTTGTAAATTTCCTTGGGAAGTAAAAACCTTGAG